CTGTGCTGATGTGGGATGGGACGGTACGTTCGGAGTGGTGGGTTGAAATTGCTTAAGGGCCTGCGGTGCCAGCTTACTGCTTTTCCTCAGCTTGAGCCTTGAGCAAGCTTAGCCGGTGTCAAGTCGACCCAAGGTTCCCAAAGTGACAGATTGCGGCACGCTATCGTTGCTTGGCTTCTCCTTTCTCTTCCATTCTGATCTCACAGGATAAGTTTCCACCCACTATTCATTCGTACACTACGGAGTACCTAGGTAGGTACGGAATCACAGAAATCCATCTGTACGCGTAAGGCAAGGTACCTCTTTCCCTGGATTTCTATGGCGAGGTACCTACTTCATGAAGCGGGTCTTCTGCCCTGCCGCCCCCATGCCCGCCCGACCTTACCTGCCTTACGTAGGAAGCAACCGCTGTTTGGCCAGTCTTACGTATCTCGCAGGTGTTCCGGATCGGCAGTGGGCACACTCTCTCGACTCCAGTTGCCATTTTCGCTAAGTTACCTCTCGACAAGGATTTGAAGGCGGAGATAAATGCAGCACAACTTGAGATTCCTGTGCTACCTTACTGCGTTGGCACATTGGTAAAGACCGTAAGGCGCGCTGCTATTGGTAGTTTTCAATTATCCGTAGTCTCTGGCAGATTCGACCTACCCAAAATGATCCAGCTACCTTACCTAAGGTACCTAAGGTAAGACGTTATCGGCCTTTCGAATCTAGCAGTGATAAGAAGACATAAGGTAAGGTAGGATAAGAGAGAGATAAGGGAAGACACCTCGAGGTGGTTGATGGGCAGGCTGATGCGCCATCTCGCTTCCGAATTTCGCTTTCGTTCATATCATCACCAAGAAGAGATCAAACTGCACAAACGAGCATGCATCACCTCCTTCGCGTTATAATCCTTACTCGACCATCTTCCCTTTTGAGCGCGATGAATGGTAGCACTATCTTAGGTATCAGTCATGTGGCATATTACTCTGGCCTACCCATCCATTGGAGCCTGAGTATGGCACTAGCATCCAAGGCATGATAAGAGAGAGAAAGATACCTTACAACCTTGGAACTTTAGCACGGCTCTTATCGATGTAGGTAACTGAAGAACACCATGCCCTTCTACACGACTCATTCAAGCGTAAGTTGGGCATCCTTGATTTTCCCATCTTCCCCATGTCTTTCAAGCATCCCTACCTTAGGCCAGGACAGGATTGTAGGAACTATGAACACAGGCATCGAAACCTCATATCCCCCATCAAATGCCCTTCACATCAACAACCTAATGATGACGACAACGACAATGGCAGTAACGAGACAACCCCAGACCTTCCATATGCGCCCGCAGAATGCAAGAGCAACAGTCGCTTGTGAAGCGCACCTGCCTTGCTGCAAGATAATACCAAGGTACCAGGCAGGCAGGCACCTGCATGTCTCGGATCTTCCTATCTCAACTACCTACATGTTGTGCGCCTGAGATAACCTGGTGCTTCTGAACCAACATCGGCTTGCTAACTTCACGACGTGACCCCTGCCTCCATACTTGTCTCAGGCCTGTTTTCTCTCTCGTCCTCTCTCTTGCGATGACCAGTCCTGCACCACCCCGCCATCGTTATCTTCTTCCGAGGAGCACCCCGCAGTCGTATCGCCCAAGGATTATACCCCACCAAGAATAAATCCTCAAGAACCAAGATACAGTTGCTGGCAGTGAGCATATATAAGTCACCACGTACGTATGCATTTGCTGAAACAACTACTCAACATGTCTGTCGCTGCTGAAGTATCGCTAGCTCTCGAGTTCTGCACTGCCTTTGATTCCGCTTTGGCTCTATATGGTCTGATCGACAGGCCACAAATCGTCCATGCTGTCCGAGCCGTTGGCTGGGCTCGTGAGCCTTGGCTGTCAGTTTCAGTCCGAGTGTACGCACGAAACGAACTGTATGCTACCGGGTCTTTTACTAGTACCCTAACTAGAGTCCCGAAAACATGGTTTCATAGACCAACATCCTCGCCGGGAGGTTGCCGATCGCGGGGACCCGAATATGTCGCGCCCTCGGGTAGCAAGTTGATGGAGTTCGTCTGCGGAATAGTCTCGGTAACAGACAGATTGTTTGGCGGGAGGTCCTTATTAATGGAGCAGGTCGGGGATTTGCCAAGGCCGTTCCCGAGAGCTTGGACGTCTTGCAGGCATTTTCGAGAGCCAGCTTTGCCGCAACCTGTTGATTTCTAGCTAGGTACGGATACTGCGCAGGTCTGCACGTGTTTGACAGTGTGACAGCCTGGCCATGAGTCGGCGTTTCTGCGCTACCATCGGCAGAAGCCGTTGGGCTAAGTTTGAAAAGGGAACGAGGCCAGGGCACCCGGCAGAAGGTAGCATGGTTGCGGGGAAGAAACACACACCGTTCTTTGGTTCATCGGACTTCCCGTCTCTACCTCGCCAAATGGCACGAGAATGCCTTACTTGGTGGGACTAAGGCCCGGGGGCATGGCATGATAATGTCCAGCCGCCCGGGCTTGATAGGCCAAAGAGAAGCAGCTATGGATACGGATACGTGAAGCCTGAGTAGCTCACCACTGACCAGGCTCACCTACAGCTTCGGGCCCGTACTATAGCCTTCACCGTTGCGTGGTTCTGGAGGCGGCCGCGGCGGCCTCACCGCATGAGACGGCGTTGCCGCTTCCGGCGGCGAATTTCGACGGCTGCGGCCATACGACGAGCCAACCAGCCCAACCAACCTTCCGGGTCACCACAGTTGAGCTCGGCCGGCCTCTCTTTCTCATCTACGATACGCAGAGAATGGCGACGATGTACAAGTCACGGTGACCTCTTCAGACTTCGTGGACCAGGATGCTTCCCTCTGGTCCACACCCCATCACATCTCAGTCCAGACGGATACTCTGCGCTTCCAACAAAATTTTTTCTTTTGCAACGGGCCGACAGGGAGATTAACACAATTCGCACTGCCGCTCAATGCAACGCAAAGTCAAGCAGTCGAGGAGATGGGATTGGTGCGTCCACTGCATTCATGGTTTCCGTTTTACGACACCACCATTGTGTTAGCTGGGCTGGTCCTGCGCAAGTGGTGGTTGCTGTCTTCGGCGACAGTTCCATCGGCGTACAAAAAACGCACATCACAAATAGAAGGAATCATCAAAACCCTTGTCCACAGGGCTACACGTCACATTTGCAGGGTCTGATCGGGGAAAGAAAGATACTTTTGCCGGACGTCTGGTCTGTTCCAGAACGTGCAAAAGGTGGGTTCGAGCCCATCTCATCTGGTCGCCCACGTCGGTCTGCCTCTGGGGATCGACTCAGGCATGCTGCCGTTGAGCCTGGGAGATGCCGCGGCTCGAGCTTTGCCTGTTTCTTCTCTTCTTCTGTAATTCTTTCTATGATTTTCCATTCGGATCGGCTTCGGGGGCATAGTTTGGTAGTGACATGTATCTGCCGCAGCATGGTCAGCGGCCCCTCGAAGCTCCGGGGCCGGTTCGGTTTGGTGAGATGAGGTGATGGGAGCTGAAGTCGGCTATGTATTGAATCATTCGCTCAAGTGACCATCGGCGACGTAGTCCATCCATTGGCATGCCTGGAATAAGTCAGCCCCTTAGTTTGGCATTGGCGGCGGCATGGACAGGTCTGGTTGCCGGGATGCCACATGGAAGGTCGGCATGCTTTTGTTCGAGGACTACGGACATAGGTACACTACGAATACTAATCAGTAATCGACTACCTAATTAGCCCACACCGTATTGTGCATCTGTATGATGCCTTTGAGCACCAGGCCAGGTGTCTTGCAGTGAGTGCCTCACTACCTTGGTCGATTCAGAGTATCGAACACTGACAAGGATGTGTCGGGATGTTCCAGCCCGGCCAAGAACGGCGGTGTCCCTGGCCAGTCCGATTCCGATCACCAGGAATGCAGCAGCTGGACTCTGTAGACTAGCGGGAGAGGCAAAGCTACCTTACGGACCACGGTAGATGACGGTGTAGACATGCCGCGAGACAATATGGAAGTGGACGTGTACGAGTAGACGAAGATGGTGTAGGAAGCGAGAAAAAGGGGGCATGGAGTTTTAAAATTGAGGTAAACTACAGATGGAGGAGCCTTTTGATGCAGATTCATTGGATTTGTTGCCAAGCCCAAGGTCCAAGGTACTTGAAATTAATAGGAGCAATTGCCTCAAGGTACCTTACCTTACGGATACCTTGGTAGAGAACTCCCGGTAAAGGATTCGTAGGTACGGATAGACCAAGTAAAATAATTAGGAGAAAGGAGCGAGGAGGAGGAGGAGGATGAAGAAGAAGAGGAAGAGGTGGAGAGAAGGGCATCGGATAGGATCCCGTCTTTTCCTCCCTCTTGGGTTCCTTCCATTGACGCTATCCCTCGGGTCCCTCCGATATTGCCTGCTGCTACTCCGTACCTAAGGTAAGGTAAGTTAATAGCAAATAGCACCAAAGCATTCTCGTCAATGTTTCTCTCCGGCACTCTCTGAGTCCAGTCTTCTCTGCTCCCTCTCCTGTGACTGACATGGTATCTTCTTTCTCTTGTCTTCTTTATTTAACCCATGCACTTTTTTTTCTTTTTCAGTTGTATGTTGGTTCCTCCTGGATCTCCCGCTCCGGCCCCCAAAAGTGGCACCCTTGACTCTGAGGTACCTTGCGCCCTCCCCTCCTCCAATCCAGCCCCCTTCTTGCCTTTTTTTGTGACGGGGATCTGTACATGCAGAACGGACGAGAGAACCCCTCCATCGTCCCCCTCCAAGCCCCCCATTCCCTCCCATGTTTCCCCTCCGACAATTTTTTAGTCGGCCGCTCTCAGCACACCTGGCTTGCGGCTTGCGGCTTGCGGCTTTACCTGGGACTGGGACTGGAAGTCTGGGACAGAGTACGGAGTACCTACCTAAGGTACCTACCGCACCGTGGACGGGACTGGGCTATCTGCTCCGTACCTTACCTAGTCTTAAGCGCACCCCCACAGTCACATTGCACACACACACACACACACACACACACACAACACATCAACTTCTCACTAACTTATTATCTGTTCTAGTCCTCACTAAAAAAGTCCAGCCCACCTCACGCTGTCTCGTCACTTTATTATTCTGGCCTCCCGCCTCGCGCTTCCTTTCCCCTTTACTCTCTGGTCGGCTCTTCATCTGTCTCTCCCTCACGTCACGGCACGCCCACGTTGCATCTAGTCAAGCTTCTCAATTCCAAGTCAAAGCCCAAGCCCGGCAAGGCACGAACACCCCCAGACCTGAGCAATTCGCAACGCCCTCTTGTGGCTCTCGTACCTAACCATACAAAAACCCTGTTTGCGCTCTCTCAGCCATCTTCGTCACTTCCGAATTCACCCCCTCTCTTCCCGCTTGCTCGGCATCCCCCCCCTCTCGGCTTCAACTTCACCCAACCCAGACAGGCACCTTCGCCTTCTCCACCGCCGTACATACCTTCTTCAATTGGAAGCCTCGCCGTAGTGTACAAATCCCACGAACCTGGTACCGCAGCACGTCCCTTTCGCGCATTCGATCACAGTATTAACGAATCGAGAGACATCTGCTAGGATGACCTCTCACGCTACTTTGAAGGCGACCTTCGCCGGCCGCGCCGAATCCGCCAGCCATCCGCTCACAGCCTACCTCCTCCGATTGATGGACCTGAAGGCATCCAACCTTTGCCTCAGCGCCGACGTTCCCACCGCACGAGAGTTGCTCTACCTCGCCGACAAGGTCGGACCGTCCATCGTCGTCCTCAAGACACATCACGACATCGTCTCCGGCTGGGACTTCAACCCCCAGACTGGTACCGGCGCTAAGCTCGCCGCACTAGCTCGCAAGCATGGTTTCTTGATTTTCGAGGATCGCAAGTTCGGTGACATTGGCAACACGGTCCAGATGCAATACGTCGCTGGGTCGGCAAGGATTATCGAATGGGCGCACATCATCAACGTCAACATGGTCCCGGGCAAGGCCGCTGTCACAGCTCTCGCAGAGGCGGCCGCAAGATGGCGCGAAAGGTACCCTTACGAGGTCAAGACATCGGTTACGGTTGGAACCCCGAGGTCGGAGAGTTTCGACGACTACGATGAGGACAACAATGGTGATTCGTATGAACATACCATTGGCACTCCACGACCAAACGACGTCAACGGACGCAAGGGCAGCATTGTCTCCATCACCACCTTGACACAGCACTTCGAACCTGCGCCTTCCCCTCGATTCCCGAGAAACGAGTCCCACAGCTCTGACGAGGTTCTGTATGCCGGAATCGAGGAGGCCCCCATGGACCGTGGTCTTCTCATCCTGGCGCAAATGTCCAGTGCCGGTAACTTCATGAACAAGGAGTACACTGACGCTTGTGTCGAAGCGGCCAGGGAGAATAAGAACTTCGTCATGGGCTTTGTGTCCCAGGAGAGCCTCAATACCGAACCAGAGGACTCTTTTATTCACATGACACCGGGATGCCAACTGCCGCCGGAAGGTGACGAGGAGAACGGCGCCGTTGCGGGTGACGGCAAGGGACAGCAATACAACACGCCTCAAAAGCTTGTTGAGCTTTGCGGCACTGATGTCGTTATCGTCGGTCGTGGTATCCTGAAGGCTGGTGATCCTCAATCGGAGGCCGAGAGATACCGCAGGAAGGCCTGGAAGGCCTATCTCTCCCGTGTGGCATAGATGGCTCGTCTCTTACACACACATCCACCACCCTCCATCCACCCTCCTCCACCTACCCACCAAACTCATACACACACCCAAAGTCAATACCCAGGCGTGTTTTTTTCCATCGTTTTTTTCCAGTCGTACCGACGTCGGGGCGGGCTTTCATGCCGTATTCTCTAGGGTGCTACTGCTGGTTCATGCATATTCGGTCTTGCAATGGTATTCATGTTGTAGAGGATGGGGATTCGGACTCGGCACTGGGGCGATTTCTTAGACGGGGGGACTCGGCGACCCGGAAGACGGGTACAAAATAAAAAAAGGGATCGGCGTTGATTTTCTGCGGGTTCTACAAATGCAGGTCTTGCATGCGGACAGTTGCAGTTCATATATCATTGAAATGACAGTTCTCTGCCACGTTTACTTGTCTATATGTAATGGCCCTTGCCTCGATCTCCAAGTCTGCTGCATACCCTTTGGATCGTGAGCAACACCGTCCGGGCATTCCATCGATCCTATCTCTGGGGTGTGGCAGTGGGTAAGATGAGTGGCCGGCTGCTGCTACCGTTCTCTTCTGAGTAGCTTGTTCTTACTCGGCTTACTCGGTTTACTCGGTTTTGAGATCAGATCAGATCCCTCGTCCAGTCAAGGCAAGGTGTCGGTGATCGGCTATTGAGGAAAGCATGTACCTGAGCTACCCTGAACTGCCGTTGATCGCGCACCCTTCTGTAGCATAGCTTAATGTTCTGCGACAAGCTGACGGTAAAGTAGTTTCTCGACGGCATGGTGTGTGGCATGTGGCATCCAAGCATGTTACTACAAAACATGGCACGGGGAAGAGGAAAAGGGAAAGGAGGGACAAGGATGGAAGGGAAGAGTTGAGGATGTTTGCCCATACAGTAGCCAGGTATGCTCCGTAGGCGATTGGACAACGGACTTTGGCGGACAATGGGCAAAAGTCCTAAAGCCGATGGACGAGATCCATGGCGGGACCCTCACCCAACTTAGTAGGGGAGACGGGGCCAGGTCCGATCTGGAGGCAGAAGAAGTCTACTCATGGTTGAAAAGGTAAAAAGACTCCCTATTACCACTAGGAAGCTACCTTACTGTGTACTCCGTAGAGAAAATGAAGAGGGACAGAGGGAGAGAGAGAAGAGCACGTCGGGTCGGCGGGCAAGGTTCCCCGGGATGCGACATGTTCTCTACAAGTCCCGCGATGTGTGAGGTGCGAGATTCAAAAGATGAAGAAGGCTATTTCCCCCCCAAACCAAAAATGATGGTGAATTTAAAGCTGAGCAGTGTGCACCGTTGCCACGCGCACTAAGCAAGATCAAGCAAGGGGTGGCCAGCCGGTGCACAGCACCATCTTGCGCCGACTTCGACTGCCGCACAGCACAAACACAACGCCATACGCACGTAGAGTAACGACTACCGGGGAAAATACAAGTACCGGAAGCGCATCAACAGCCTTTTACTTCAAAAGGTCGTCCCGACTTTTTTAGACGACGAAGATGCCGACGGATCGCTGACGCTGGCTCTATGAAAGGGCATTGGTGCGACGGGATCATGAGAGGACATTGGCCGTGTGTCTAAAGTGGACGTTGGGACGTGAGGGAACGGTGGGACGTGAGGCGTGGGATGAGATCTCTCTCAGTCTCATCTTACATTGATTTTTCGGCGCGCCGTGCCCCCTGTCGGCAGGCTGCCGGCCCTACCCCTCCACGCCGTGTGTTTCCTATTGTTCGAGTCCCCTTTTTTTCTCTCTTCGACCTCCTGAAAGGCGATCCGCGGAAGACGAATGGCACGATGCTTTTTTGCTGTTTGAACCCCGACTATTACCTGCCCTGGGCGAACGCGAACGGTGCGGAATGCGGGTTTCTTTTCTCGTTGCCGCCATGACCTGCAGAAGTCTGTGTGTACAAGAGAGCCGGAGGGAACTCCATATGGCTGCCTGGTAGCTGTGACCTGGGTTACTGTCCCCGAGAACCTCCAAGACGCCTCTCAGTGTGACCCAAGAGCTGCCGATCCAACGTCGAACAATACAGGTAGGTAGATATCCATGTCGGCGAAGGACCAAAAAGCTTGGGCGGAATTGCGATGGGACAAGCTGCAGGTCAGCAAATCACAAAACAGCAGCTAGCTGTCTTTGGAGCATCGTTGCGTGACCCTTGGGACCGGCCGTTCGCTCCGTCGGTGTCGTCAGAGTATGATGGAGTGAGTGGCCAGGCAGGGGGTGTGGTGGGATGGATGTATCCATGGATGGGCAATGGATTTTTGAATCTGATGTTTTTGTTGTTGATGGGCTTTTGGTTGTATCCCGGATGGCACAGTGCACTACCTTACTTTGTCCAAGGCTGGTCGGTACATTTTGCATACCTTACGGATACACTACCTACCTTACCTTACATTAGCCATATCCAAGTGCCGGCCGGACGTGTAAGAAAACTATGGGGATTTAGAAAACGCCCTTTGACAACGGGAGTTTCTTGTTTTTCCTCTATCCCTCGGAGCTTCAGGGATATCCTACCTATTTTACAATTTGCTGCACCTTACCGAGAACACCTTACGAATACCCAGGAATCGAAAAGGGCAAAACGAAAATACCTTTACGTCGACCGACGTACCTTACCTTACTTCCATTAAGGTAGGTACTGCACGCAGCACCGTGTAAGGTACTCCGTACCTTGAGTCCATACAGAGACAAGACAGGACCAACTCCCGGCCCCACAATCCAACACCGCCGGCCACATGCCTTGCCTTGCTCTTGCCGCAGACCTGGACTGGAACTGGACTGGAACTGGAAGGAGCGCAACTGCCAACACCAGGTGCTTGCTTGCTTTTGCAGCAAGTTGAGTGAGTTGTGTGTGTGAGAAGTTGAAGCCTGCCTTCCACCTTACCTACCTTATACTTACCTATACCTTTCCTAGGTACCCAGCTGCCAAAGGGAAAGAGCGAGCGCCTGCCACTTCTGGACCCCGGTTGCCCATATTTACGAATACGCTCACCATTGTCTTTCCCAGCCCCGATCGAAATATTAACGACGTCGGTCTACTTTACCTTACCTTACGCAGTAGCGTCTGCTGCTCTCTCTTTCCGCCCTGGCCTGTCTCCAGTCTCCCACTCTACCACTCTACCTACCTTACTCAATCACCAGGTTCCGCTCTCTCCCACACAGTGCCCCAGTCTAAGGCGACATCTGCTTCGCTCGCCGACGAGAGTCACAGATTGATCGTGGGCGGGTCCTGTTTTCCAACTTTTTCCACCAGTTCTGCTTCCGTAATCGTCCATCCCTCCCTCCATCTCTTCCGGCAGCTGTCACCGCGAGGGGCCACGACCGAGATCAACATTCACCGGGGTTTCTTGCTCGTTTTGTGCCTCTACTGTTCCATTCCAGGCCTTGCGCCTGCCTGCGCTACTCTACGAAAAGATATTCAGACGCCCAGCCAACTCCATCAACCCACGTGCCGACCTCGCGGCGAATCCAGGCGGCTCCCACTTTGCGGACCGAATACCCTGAACCACTGACACAACCAATTCCCGAGGCGGCGACGGCGCCGACAGTTCGAGAACATCGTGCCGTTCCCCGAGTGCGCCTCCACGAACACGACCTTTCAACAACCACGTCCGCCACGCAGTATTCGCCGTATATACGCATACACACATTTACACGGCCGACCATGGCCGACAATCGGCGTAACAGCTCCGAGAAACCACCCTCGGCGCGGGATGGTCAGAACTCGAGCACAAGTCCAACTCAAACACCGACCCAATTGCAGAACCAGAACCTGACGCAAGACGCCCGACCACCGCCCAAGAAGCGCAGACGCGTGGTGATTTCTTGCACGGAATGCCACCGACGGAAGCAAAAGGTTGGTTTGCTAGGCCTTGCCCGCAACGATTCTCCCTCCCGTCATTGCAATTTGTAGCTGACACAGTTTCTGTGCGCAGTGCGACCGAGACCTCCCATGCGCCAACTGCAAGTCGCGCAACAAACAGGATGCTTGCAAGTACGAGACGGGCGCGCCCACAGCGAAAGACAGCCGCAAGCCGGACGGCGAAGGCGCAAGATCGACACATGTCCAGAGCCTCTCCAATGCCGCCGCGAATTGGGGCTACTCTCAAGCTGGGGCTTCCACGCTCGGTCTGATGAGGAAAATCGAAAGCGCCAACGGCGACGGCCAGCTGTCGCATCTCGGTGGTGCGGCCCACGTCGAAGACCAGTTCGCGACCAAGGAACGATATAAGTCGTTGATCAGACAGCTGCCGGCCAAGGGTTACATTGAAAAGCTCATCGACGTATACTTTCACGAGTTCAACCACCAATACTATGCGCTTGAGGAGGATCTCTTCAAGGAACAGTTTGCCGAGTGGTCCAACATCCCCTTTAGCGTGCTTTCCAACTCTGGACCACAGGCACTCTCGCCCGACCTGCGAGTCTTTCCCGCGCTGCTCTTTCAGGTACTGGCGACGGCTTTGTTGACTCTGCCGGAAGGGTCGCAAGACTTTTACGATCATCTAAAGTATGCCGGGAACATGACTTTCGAGGACCTTGCCGCGGACTACAGCGAATCTGGCGTCGGCATTTTGTCACTGCTTGGTAAGCGGCAAATCACTCTCACAACAGTTCAGGCCGACTTTCTTCGAGCTGCGTTTCTCAAGTACATGGCCAAGGTTACGGAATCGGTAGGTGAACTCCCGAGCGTAGCTCAAGGCCATCAAAAAGCTAATGATGAGTGCAGTGGCATGCCATTGGTAGCGCTATTCGAGATGCTCAAGAGATTGGCATGCACCGGGATAGCCTGGATCCTTCCCCGGCCAGTGATGACACTGGCGATATGCTCGAGAACATGTGGCTGATTCAGCGGAGGAGAAAGCTTTACATGGTCCTCATGACATGGTGAGCGATTGCCGGACGGCAAGGATGGCTGTTCATGACTCGGCTGACACCGAACAGGGACATCCACTGTGCGCTTGTGCTTGGACGTCCTGGCAGCATCGACTGGCGTATACTCCCGCCCAGTCTGCCAATAGACGCGCCTCCGCCCAAAGACCGCCGCAAGACGCCCATTGCGCCAAGGGATGACGAGAGAGACCCGCCAACCCCGTTGACTAAGAGCATATGGGCTTTCAAGCTCGTCGGCCCAATGCGCGAGATCCTCGAGCTTGAGCACGACGGTCCGTGTCCGAAAGACTACTCCAAGGTCGACCGGGTACACCAAATATGTATGGAACTCGACGAGGCCACACCCGCATACTTCCGCCTGGAGAATCCGGACACGAAATGGGACGGTAACCCCTTGTGCTCCTCCTGGCTACAGTCGGTGCGATTTTACCTGCCGCAGATGAATCTTTTCAATCTGATGGCACTGCACCGACCATACATCTTTAACAGGCAGAAGAGTCGGACAGAGGCGCTCAAGGCCAGCATTGAAATGTTGCATCGACAGATGCTCACATTCCAAGGCCTTGACGCCGGATCATGGCGAAAGTAGGTCTAGTGCATTTCCCTGTCGGATTAGGCTAACAAGCGCGCCTAGTTTCTCGCTGTTCTTTGGCAGCTTTGACGCAGTAGTGCTCATGGCCTCGATATATATCCTGTTCCCCAAGGAGAACCTGGATATGGCAGGCAGCGCTATGCAGCACTTCCACTGGACAACGGAGAGGTTTGAAGCGATGCAGGAGCGAAATCCTCTTGCGAAGGCGGCAAAGGGTGTTCTCCAGGCGATATTTAACAAGTTTAAGAAAGCAGTAGGAAACCCGGCGCCACCAGCGAGCCTGTCAAGCCTGGCATCCCAGACAACGCCGGCATCGACGGCAGACAACAGCAGTCTTTCAGGCCGCGGATCGGTGTCGACGGCAACAGCGGCCACGGCAGATACGCCAGTGAGCAAGAGCAGTACGGTGGCGACACCAACATCACTGCCCATGGCATCAGACGCGGTATCGGCGTATCCTTTGCCATCCTCTGCCTCGGACTGGAACATACCCAATAACTGGGATTTTACGTCGATTGCGCCACTGTTCCCGATGGGAGATCTCATTTACCACGACCTCAACGGCATACCGGACGACGGATCTCTACCCGCATGGGGAGCAGCGACGCCGCCACCGCCGGTGGCTGGTACAACATCATTTGAAGGAGATTTTGGGAATGACAGTGTGTGGAACTTGCTAAACCAGTACGACCCGTCATCTGTTTGAGCCCCTTACTACGTACGTTATATGGAAGACTGAGGAACGATGTTTGAAATGGACAGAAACAAAGGCCATTTAGGGACATTTAAGCCTGAGCCGCTCGCCTTCAAGTCGGAGTAAGATACTATCCGTAACATCTGCCTGCAAGCTCTTGGAAGAAGGAGTGAGGGGCTCGGATGATTGAGACAGTAAAGGAAAGAGGGACGGCAAGGCGTTTTTCTTGAACGTCGCAGGTGAGAGTCGAAAAAGAGATGGTAAAAAAAGGGTCGCGGCCTAGCGGCGGTTGAGTGCATGACTTTGCGTTGTCGTCATTGGCTGCATGTATTGGTGGGTTGAATTGGAGTTGAGAACTTGAGCGCCTTGGGAGACAGATGATTTACTGCTGAAGGGCACCCCCCTGCCGTGATGGGGGATGCTGGCCAGTTAGGTGGGACAACGGTAGTGGAATTAGCGCCAGCGGAGAAGGAGCTGCCCTGCCAGTGCCTGCTTCCCGGTTCTGTGGTGCCTCGCAAGTTGTCGCTAAAGTAGCATCTCATGCACAAGCGGTGGATAATCAGTCGAGCGAGGTGCAGGCCAGGCACATCGCAGCCATTGCTAGGTAGTCGTCAGTCAGTAGGTAGCCAAGAATGGTTGAGGTAGATACAACAACGAGGATGCATTGATGACTAAAATATACCCTATCTATACCCTGACTGTACCCTTTTGTTGCCGTCCATGCCCACGTTCTGATTCGAGTTTTTGTGTCGGTCGGCGTACCGGGGAACGGGTGTCACCGGTGTCTTGCGGGATGGAAGGTCCTCATATCCTTGGGGCCTATGACGATTGGGACCAGTGGTAAACTTTTTTTTTTTTTTTCGTATGCCAGTTTGACAATTTTTTCTGGGGTCCAGACAGTACGGCACCAACACCATATCCGTAGAGGAAGAAAAAAAAATCAATTTCCGCCAGCCAACGACTTGTGTTGTGGCGTGTCTAACATCTTATCGGACGCTTGCTTTTTTGCCTTGAGTTTGCAATTATCTTCCCACGGTTTCTTACATTTCACTTGTGAACATTTCCCCATCTCTTGACAATTGGAAGTCTACCCGTGCCTACCTTAGGTTGGGTCAAGAAAGATTGCCCCCGCCATCCATCCCCATCCGGCGAGTGAGCGCTCATCCTGCTTTCTGTATCCCGGGTCCCAGCAGATCGATATACAAGAATCCGGTGGTGGCTTCACCGCTTCCTGTCACTCGCTGCTGTCAGGTATCGATTGGGAGAGGAAGCAGACAGCAGACAGCAGACAACGGACGACTGGCATCTTTAAACCCACAATCCGTTTGTTGCTGCGTTATTCCATCTCGCAGATACGTCTGCAATATTTGTTCGTTTTCTTCCACCTTTTACATAAAACCGTCTCATTGACCCTTATTCGTAAAGTGCAGGAAAGGGAAAGAAGCCGCTGCCCTTCCAACTTTTCCTTAAGCAAAATCTCTACGGCGCCCACCGTTTATTTGACTTACTTTGTCTCGACCTCAGACATATCCGTACTCCCTCCCGCCCTCTCGCCCAAGACCCAATCCACCAGCCAACCTCCATCCTGAATCCTGGTCTGGTCGAATCCCGATCCTACCCCATTGTCTATCGTCTTGCCTGGCGTTACATTGCCCTCGTAGCCCCTACTCGCTCTCTCTCGAGACGCACCATCAGAGGCTTTTTGGCACAGCTTCACCTTCAACCGGTCGGTCACACCTCACCTTTTCAGCCCTCAGGTACTACCTCCCTTTACTTAATTACCCATGACTTTTTGCCTGAACCGACCATCTTGAACGTCTTCTTCAGCCCCCAAACTCCAGCCCCGTCCAGCTATCAACCTTAACAATCCCATCGCCGATCGACGAGACGTGAGCTGCGCTAAGGTAGTCTCTAAGTGCTTGTCTCTCTTTTCTTTGGCTGCATCTCATTTTGCTTTCCCGATTCTTACACTTTGGTTCCCTATTATCCACCTGTCTTGGCTTTTTTGCCTTTCACAGCTCTCGAGTTTCTTATTGCAGCTCACACGAAGCTCTAGATGTGAAGAATGGGTTTAGCCACAAATATTATTCTCCTCATATCATCAAACCACCTGCCTACCTACGCAGTTCTCATACATTGCACACACGAGCCTAGTCGAAAGGTTACCTCACCTCACCTCACCTCACATCACCTCTCATAAATCGCTTTCCAGGAGAGACGTAACCTGCTACGTACTGGCTAGGCGCATTTTCTTGCTACAGCGACACCTGCAGCAGAGCACACTGTCTGCCTGATCCGGCTGGGCCATCGCACCAAAGCATCACAAGCACACGAGGCAGGCACGGTACTTTCACCTTTTTTTTTTTTTTTTTTTCTAATTTATTTTCTTACTACCTACCCGAGCACCAAGCACCAAGCATTACGGTCATCCACACATCCACGTCCCGTCCAAGCACAACACTCACACACTCACACACTCATACTCACTCACTTGCTCACTCACTCACTCACTCACCCACCTACCGTACCTGCACCTGCACCTGCACCTCCTGGCGCCAATAGAGAGTGCAGCAGTTGAGACTACCGCCGCGACTTCTTGCCTTTTCCCTTTGGCACACAAGGACTGCAGCGTCCGCCTCACCTTTCTCACTCTACTTCCTGCTTGGGCTCTCTTAAATTTTGTTTTCGCTCGCTGAATCTGACTGGTGGCAGAAAAAAAAGCAGCTCTCACTTTGCCCAAGGGAAAGAGGGAAAAAAAGAAAAAGATGCCCACCACCACTCATACCACGACCACCCGGTCGCCTTTTGACACCAACAACCTGGGCATCAACACCAACAATTCGGCCCCTGTTCTCCCACCTTACCTTCGCACCAGTAGCCAATCTCCGCTGCATTCTTTTCCTTTCTCGCCGAGCAGCACCTTGCCTTCGGCCATCGGATCAGGCATTAAGAAAGAAAAATCATCTACCAAAATGGCCTTGGATAATTCAGAGATCATGGACTTTGTCACTCGGTATCAGAACTTGCAGGCCTACCAGAACGCCAGCGACCAGTTGATGAAGGTACGTTTACGTTTTCCACTTCCCTCATGGTTTGCCATTGCCTGCCCACCCCTTCTCCCGGTTGAATCTTCAGCGTCCTTTCCACGGCCTGTCTGCGTCTGCAGAGAGACCAAAGCTTCCTGTCCCTTGCTCGATAAGGTCCCGCAGCAAAGCCACCCCCAGATTGAGCTTGAGCTTGAGCTTGAGCTCGAGCTCTTCGAGGCATGTCGTCAACTTTTGCTACCGCGCCTAGCTTCAGCGCTGCAGCTATCATCGTTGACGCGCTTTGACTGCTGATTCCCTACTTCCCTCATCGCCACCTTTTCAAGCCCACACTCAACCCACCTGCACGAGACGCGATGAACTACTGTTCCCCGTCCATCCCAACATGGGACCGCCCCTCTGAACAAGGTTATGAACCTTGACCAAAGTTACATTCCGCTAACCTCGTTTGATACCACAGGACCTTTTGATGTACTGCAAAGAAATTCAGGGCCAATATGCCGATGAAAATCAGATGCTCAAGCAGGAGCTGCGCAATGCAAAGCTTGATCTCGAGCATGCTACCACTTCCAGAAGAGAGATGCAGCAGGTGCTGCAAGAGCTTGATTATGATAACAGCTACATGAAGGTACCTAGACAGCGGCGCCGCCTGCTGCCCAGCAGCTTCTTCCCCACCCTTAAGCTTCAGAGTGACTAAACCTCGCAGAATCGCAATCCCTACGTCTTGATTCTAATTGATGGAGATGGACTTCTTGTACGTAGCCCTGACTGCTGCCTCGGTTTTTCGATAAAATGCTAACTTCGGCGCCCCCTCAATAGTTCCAAGAATCGTTTATTAGACAAGGTATCGAGGGCGGCAAGCAAGCCGCCTACGCCCTCCGAACTGCCGTTGCCGAGTACGTTGGCAGCCAGTCGGGTGAGGTTGAAATCGTCGCCAAAGTCTGCGCCAATCTATCCGGTCTTGGACGTGCTATGCGCAGAGATGGCTGCCTCGATAGCGAGTCCGAGCTCAGGGAGTTTTTCCTGGGTTTCACACAGGCCAAAGCTTCATTTGATTTCATCGACGTTGGTCACGGTAAGGAACGTGCCGACTCGAAGATCAAAGGTGCGTTGTGCCCGAGACTACATGGCGATGTTGTGATAGTGACAGATGGGCTAACATTGCCATAGAGGCCACCCGCTGGCATTTGCGTAACTACAACTGCAGACAGATTTTGCTAGGCATTTCCCACGATGCTGGTTATGCCCCTTTCCTCGATGAGATCCTTCAAGATACAGATACTCGCTCGAGAGTCAGTCTAATTGAGGGCGTCGCTACGGTCAGAGAGCTTAAAAACACCAACGTTCATATCCTCGAACCGCTGCCCAGCCTTTTCCGAAACCAAAAGCTCATTGATAGAAGCTTCGACCGCGCTGCTGAACGTGCCGAGGCATACGCCAGATCCTCGGCGCAGGCACCAGCGTCGGTGTCTTTCTTTCCGGCTCCGTCTAGAGCGTCGACATCTTCGCCTGTGATGGTGGCTTCGCCAACCTCACCCCCTGCTACAGTGGCGACGACAGCCTCTTCTTCCTGGGCTGGGGTCACCGCTAAGGCTAGCCCGCCGCCTGTCATCACCACCCCGTTGGCCAAAATATCCGTCAATGTTCCAGCTCGAAAAGCTCCTGAGCCAAAAGTGGCAACACCGGCGTGGAACCCTGGCGAACGTGGCTTGGATCCCCCCATCCCCATCAACGCAACAGCCATGGATAACATTAAGAAACGAACGGGCAAGGACAAGCTGTGCAATAACCATTACCTGCGCGGTCCTTGTGCCAAGGGCGATGAGTGCTGCTTCGAACACAAATACAAGCCCAACCCGGATGAAATCAATGCCATTGCCCATTTGACTCGTCTCAACCCCTGCACCAGCGGTCAGGAATGTGACGTGGAAAACTGCATTTACGGACATCATGTAAGTCTTTGCCTTTCACCTTTACAGAACAGGTGTACTAACAAGTCTCGCAGTGTCCTAGCGTGACTGGAACCACCTGCACCCACCCGTATTGCAAGTTCAGAGTTGAGGATCATCCACCTGGCACAAAGTTCAAGAATGCCAAAATTCACGAAAACTAAACGGCTTTGAGAAGCCGATTTTGGAAGGAAGGAGAGACATGAGCACAAAGGGACCAGATTTACTATGGCACATGGAATTGGCTGTGGCACAGAGAGTCAAAACTCATCTGCTGATGGCCTCTCAACGTGCTGGGTTTGCTTTTCGAGGATTAATTTGTGTATGGTTAGCTTTCTCACTGGCGATTTGAGCTTGCCGAATGAGCTTCGTATAGCTATACATGGATAGCTGTTTTCCGGATATTCTTTTTCAGGCGGTCACGTAGCGCTTGAGGGAGGACCAATCGTACCTGAAATTCTGGCCCTGCAAAAACCATTGCCTCACGCTCTAGATATATGGGTCAGAAATTTGCTCAGATTGTCACCATCGGATGAGGAGACGTGTTGGCGTTATAGTTGCGACTGCTCCCTCCCGACCTCCGCGCCAGCATCTTGACCCCCGGTGGCTTATATTTTTGAAGGTTATGAGTTCGAATTCCCTCGTAGGCTCTTTTTCTTTTGTTTTAACTGAAATCCATCGCTCTTGCCACATCCATGGAGCTGCGGATCCTTTGCAGAGGCAAAAACGAGTGTTCGTGTAATTACCTTCGTCTATAAACTACCTACCCATGAGCTGAGGTGAAGTGATGCCCTGTGCCTGTCTGCCGAGTCCCAGGGGGGATAGTGGACCCCGCCACTCCAACCCAAACCCCACCACGAGCCGTGGTCTGGCAACCCCACACCTGCCGGCCAAAATCCCAGAGTGGATTAGCAGAGAGAGAGCCTCCTCTTCAATCCACAACTGTATCCTCACCTCACGTCTGCCAGGCCTCCAAACCTACCACCAACGACGACAACGACGAAAGCTCCCGAAGCTATCGATACCTCGAGAGTCACGAGCTCAATCGGGTACAAAAAACAAGAAGCGGCGATCACAGATAGTCCCCCAGATAATACCACACCAACCCCCCAGACAAACCACAACCATGTCGCACCCACGCATAGAGGAGGTCGAAGACAGCGACCTCGAGGCATCAGACCCCTCCGAGGGCGACATTGACGACTTTGCCGACATCGACATCATGCGCCGCGTCGAGCCCAAATCGTCAGCACCACGCGCACCGCAAATCAACCCTTCCACCATCCCCCCGGCCGCCGCCTCCGGCCCAGGCCCCCGCGGCGGCCCCTCCGAGTTCCAAACGACCGTCGACCAGAAGCAATACGCAGACTTCCAGTGCCTCTACCCAATCTACTTTGACGCCCGCCGCACCCGCGCCGAAGGCCGCCGCGTCCCCAAATCCCTGGCCGTAGAGAACCCCATCGCCCGCGAAATCGTAAACGCCTGCGCCGCCCTCCGCCTGCCGACGCTCTTCGAGCCCGCCAAATTCCACCCAAAGGACTGGGCGAATCCGGGCCGCGTCAAGATCCGCACGCGCTTCAACGGCCAGCTCGGTCCGGACGGCGGCAAAGCCAGCGCCGCGAGCCGCCCCGCGGGATGTCAGGAGATCAAGAACAAGCACCACCTGTACATCCTCGTCGCCGAGCACCTCAAGCGCAACCCGACGACGGAGGACAGCGCCGCCTTAAAAGCGCGCGTGCAGGGCGCGCCCGCGCACGATCCCAGCAAGCCGTGGCCTAGGCCTGCCGTCCCGCGCGGGTGGAAGATGGGCGAGCTGTTGCCGTATATCAGTCCCGCCATGACGGGCGGCGGCGTCAGCGAGAATTTGTTCAAGGATATGATGAAGGAGATGCAGGGGGGCGGGGACCCGATGGCGGCGTTGATGCAGCAGGCTCAGGGGGGTGCTTTAGGTGGTGGTGGTGGTAGCGGTGCTGAGGAGAAGGCCGGTAAGAAGAAGAAGGGCAAGGGCAAGGCTTGAAGTGGACTTTCAGCGAAAGAGAAAGAGAGTCGTCAAAAGGGGAACCCGGGGTGCACCTCATCCAAGGAGTCCTAAGCATCATCATGAAAAACATGCCACGGCCAACGGTCAATGGTCAACAAGTTAAAACGACATCACGGAGATACAAAGGGGAGGGTCGTAGAAAAAAGCCGAGGGAACCCAATCTAAGCATGCTAGACTTGAAGAATAAGGTTGGGATTCAGGGGGTATTTAACATCCTACTAGTCCTTCTGCAACATCGCATCGCTTCCATGATAATCATACTGCCGCCAGTCGGCCCTGTATTCCCTCCCACTCGCGCGATCCCACAATCTGCACATCTCTCCCGCCGCCGGGCACCATCTTGCCGTCCGCGTCCGACAGACGAATCTGCAATCTCGCCGCCACGTTCTTCATCATCTGCCTCTTCTCCGCCGCCGCCCCATCCTTACGTCCCAGCACGACCTCGGACTTCTTGAGCACCGAGTTCCGCCAGCTGTTCCACGCCGCGAGGTCCTCCCTCTGTTTGGCCGCGTGGTACTGCGGCGTGCTGCGCGCGGGCTTCCACGCGAGCTTGTCCTCCGGCAGGGAAGCAAGGTCGTAGACGCGGGCCGACGTTGTAAACTTGACCAGCTCGCTGAGGACATCCTTACCCTCCGCCACGACGAGGGCGCGGCGCTGCTCCACGACGGACGGCGACTTGGTGAGTGGCTCCGCCAGCCAGTCGTAGTTGTGCTGCTCCGTCGTCCTGGCGCGCCTGTTGTCCTCACGAAGGTATCGCACGGCAGCCTGCAGGCTCGCAATCTCGCTCTTGAGAGCATCCATCTCGCGCGCTGTAGCAACCGCCCGCTCCTGGCCGGCCTTGGCACCTGCTGCACCGGCACCATCCGCGAAAGCCTTGCTGTCGCCGGCAATCTGTTTCCACTTGTCGCGGTCCGTCTCCAGTGTCTTGAGCTCGCGGTCTTGCTTGTCAATGTCCTCCTTGAGACTAGCAGCCTTTTGCTTGGCAGCCTCGATCTGCGCCTCGAGATCCTCAATGCGGGAAGCCTTGGCATTAGCATCCTTCATCCTCGACTCAAGGGTCTCAATCTTGAGGTTGGCCGTGCTGAGATTCTCGTCGCGCTGCGCAATCGCCACGCGGACTTCGTTGTGCTCCTCCTTAAGGCGGCGCATCTCCTCCTCCGCGTCGACGGGGATTGTCTTGATGGCCTTGAGCTCCTGGGAACGAAGCTTCCACGGTGCGGGGCTGACTTCAAACTCTTGCGTCTGGGACAAATCTGCGCTAAGCGCGGCCAGGTCTGAGATCTGGCTGGTAAGAGTACGAAGCCTAGACAGGTACGTTGAGAAGAGGTCGGACTCGCTCGACATGGTGACCTTGGTGGTGGCCTTGGAAATTGTATCCTGGACTTCGCGGTACGTAAAGGCCTCGTTACGGCCTTCCTCGTGTAGGAGCGTATGCAAGTCGGAGCCAATCTCACGAGCCAACGCTGCCAGCTGTTGAGTGGCATCCTGGCACTGCTCAAAGGACTCCTTGGTCTCTTGCGGCAACGCCAGCGAGCGAGACTTGAGATCTTGCAGAGCCCGCACAGCCTTGCCAGCAATAACCTTGGCACTCCGGGTCTGAGCAACGACAAACTCGGATTTCTTGCTAAAGTGCTGCGCCATCTCATCCTCTTCAGACTCAGAGGGCACAACTCTCTGGACCATTCCGCGCAAGGCAGCAAAGGTGGCTCCGGCAGACCCAAGATGGCTCTGCATGACGACAGTCTGCATGTACGTGTCCTCGGCAAAGTCGGGCAGCTCGTTGGTGAGGTGGACTTCAGCGAGATGGGACATGAGCGCAATCGTGCGCTGGAGTTCGTCCGCACACTTCTGCTCCTTGAGGTCATCTCGTCGCAAGCCGTCGATCCATCCGTTGAGGGCCCGCTCCACTGGCTCCAGCTCAAACAAGGCGTTCTGGAACCGCTGGAATTGTTCAATCGAGCAGTGGCTGATGGCATTAGTGAAGCGCTCGCACATAGAAGCAACCCATGTAAGTTTGTCGATAGCATCGCAGCCAGCAAAGACGTCGTCCTCGTGGCCAGGATGAGGTTGGCCGTTGACACGCTCCTTGATGAACGACTGCAGGAGCTCGGCCTTGAAGGCTAATCTCCTGAACCTCAGTAGAGCAAGCACAGAGTCTTGGTCCTCCTTGTAGGTATCGGGCAAGAACATCTTGACAATCTCCAAGTGTTGCTCAGCCTCCTGAGCCTCCAGTCGTCGTAGCTCGAGGTCGATCGTCTTGACTTGGGCCTTGGAGGCGGAGATCTGGAGCTTCATGTTCAGGTCCATCATAGCGCGGGACTTGCTGTTAAGCTGCTCGGATTCCGTCTCGGTCACAGCGTGTGACGCCCGCATATCCTCGAGGTCGCTCTGCAAGCTTGTGACCAGTCCTCTGAAGCGGGACAGGGTGTACTCCATATCCTCCAGGGCCTCCTCTTGCTCGGCCGCCCGTCGCGCCTGCTCCGTGATGACGCTGTCCTTGAAGTCGAGGTCCTCTTGCATCTCCTTTTCGTTCTGTACGTGATTGATCTCCAGCTCGTCGTTGATCTCCTTTAGATTCTCGAGATCTTCGATGACGGCCTTGAGTTCTTCGATTTGCTCAGACATGCTCATGTTACGCTCAGTGAGGTCCTCGATCATATCTTCAGCGCCCAAAGCATTGTCCAGTTGTTGCCGAAGATCCTCAACAGCAGCCTCCGATTGAGCCAGCTTTTCTTTCGCCGCATCGAACTGCTCCTTGACGGTGCCAAATTCTTGGAGATCATCCTCCAAAGTCTTGATTTGGTCCTTGAGCTCCTCCTCTTGTTGCTGAGTCAAGTCGCGCAGTCGCAGTAGAGCTTCGCGGAGTCGCTCGTTCGTCCTCTCCATCTGCAGCCACCCGGTGCTAGCTCGGTCTTCCGCCGACATACCCTGGCCGAATTCCGCATTCTCTTCGCGGAGAATTTCCACTTCGAGCTCAAGCTCTTCCGACTTCTGCTTCAGAGCCTCAAGTTCAACCTTAAGAACCTCGGCCGTCTCTTCAGCCATCTCACGGTCTAACGTAGCCAGCTCCAGAGCGGTCTCATGCTCCATCTGCATCGACTCGATTGATTCGAATCTCTCCTCTGCCTCCTTTAATTGTTTCCGCAACTCGTTATTCTCGCTCTGCTGAGGCTGGTATTTCGCCTGCAATTTTTCTATAATCGCCTGGAATCTGTCCCGCTCGCCTTGGACCTGGTCCAACTGCTTCAACTTCTCTCTGTCCTCCAACCTCTTTCTCTCAAGCACTTTGAGCTTAGCCTTGAGGTCCTCTATC